AATAGGTTAAAGAAATATTACGAGAATAAAACAAGTGATTATTCTACGGTGGAGGAAGAAGAAATAGGAGAACCAGAACAAGAAGAGACGGAAGAAGAAGGAGTTGACCCGTCTAAGTTGGCAACACTGCCATTGTGGGAACCAGGAACCCCAATTAACAAACCGCAGAGAAGAAGAAAAGGAAGTCAGGGAGACACCAGCCAACCAAAAAGATCAGAACGAATAAAGAATAGACTAAGCAAAATGCCCGAAAGAAAATGTTGCGGTATATTCCACAAAACGAAAAAGAAAGGATGGAACACATACAATAGAATAATAAACAAGAATGAGACAGCAATAATAACACAGAGCGATGAGGACACAGACATGTTTTTCGACGCAATAGATGAATAGTGGAAAAAAATATCAAAACAACTATAAGAAAAGTTGAAAGCTTGGTATTAAAAGAGACGGCCGCTCGAATAATACTAAAATTTTAACAAGGAACGAAAGACAAAACACAGGTAATATAAGCATTCATAGTTAAATATTAGCACAGTTCAATGAAAATATTTTTTTTGAAAACATAATAGTAGATCATAACTAAAAGCAAGTTTTAAGAACGAGAAATAAGTAAATTAATTTAAAGTTTATAGGGGTCTAAGCTGCTGTTGATTAGTAAGAGCTGGATCGGTAAGATACCATACGCCAATCCTTTATTGCTATGTCAAAACTGATTGACAGACTTGAATTCCTATCAACTAAGAAAATAGTATAAAGATTGAGTCAGAGCATTGATAAATAAACAACTAATACAGGTCAAGTGTAGAAAACGTTTTTTTAATTAAATAAAAAAATAAATATTGTAGTTTATAACAGACACCAAGAGTTCATAACATTTGTCTGTATTAAATTGCATCAACAATGTGAGTATAAAAAAATTCAGCTCTCAGCAAAACGTAGTTTAATAGCCTTGAAACATAAATATCATAACACTGAAAACAGGTCATTGTGTTTGACGAGAAATCAAAATAAATTTCACCTTTGAATTATTTTAAAAAGATTTGGGAAAGAGTGAGAAATATTACAATAATTTCTGACACTTTATTAAGAGTAAATATAGTAATTAAAATATTTTTCAAATAAGGAAAATTCGTTACACATACGTAACTATATACAATAAGTGATGACAAGTTGAGAATTAAAAATATATGACTCTAATATACAGGGTGTATATATAACAGAAAGATGATATATTATATTGTAAATATTTAAAAAGTACAAGTCCCAATTATTAACATATTAATATTGGATTAGATATCAATTTATTTATCAGTTTATAGTCATTAGGCACAATAATATGCAATACACGGTAGGTTAGTATATAAGTCAGATTTATGTAAAGCTATCACTAAAATTGTCTGCAATAAGCAGCTATACATGTATTATAGGTTAAGGTGCATTTGAATTACGCGTAAAAAGTACTAATGCGAACTAAAGTCTGCTTACGGGAGTGCGACCGTTCGGGAAGTAATAACAGTGCGATTTGTGACACTAGAGAAACTCATTACGGTGGAGAGACTCTTGTTTCACTGTGAAATGTACAGCTACACGTCCATAGTCGATGGAGGACTAGACAGCTACATCAAGAAGATAGGAGCAGAAGAATGCTGAAATATACACTGCTACCGATCGATACGACTCTACAATAGGCTAAATAACCTGGGAACAATACAAAGACAACAGTTGTGAAAGTCAATTGTCACAACTTTACAGAAGGCACGTTGAAAAGATCACTAATAAACAATCACTAAAAGAATTGATAATAGTAGAACAAAATAAAAACATATTTGCTCTAACACTACACAAAAGGGCTATAATATGTAACACAGAAGTATGGCAAACAGAACACCCCCGAATCCTAATAAATTTCCTAGTAAACACAAAATAAATCCTAGTATGCCTCTCCTACCCCAAAACGTAGACCTAATGACCTACATCACTAGCAAATTCCTTTACACCGAACAATCCTACCAAAGAGAAACAGAAAAGTTATACTTAGACATAGTACTACGACGATGCCAAACAAAGAGATGCAGCAAACACATACAAGAGACCAATGTAGCAGAAGTATAATGCGACAAAGCAAAGCAGTAGCAACCTGAGACGACCACCCAGCAAGGACAAACCAATGGAGGCAGACAGCAGCAGGAACGCATCAATATAGTTAACTCGACACGTGGAATTGGCAAACGGACATTAAAACAGCCAAGACGACGTGAGTGAAGTGCGGATAATTCCCACAGGGATACGCGATAAAGTGAACGCAAAACGCGAGTACAATCGTATAAAACAGTTAGAATACGCTTGTCGTAATGGACACATGTAATCACAAACAATTGTAATAAGTTAGGAAAGTTCTTTCACTTGTTAAGTTTCAATAAGATTAATACAAGATTAACTCAACTTGTCATACACATAGGTTTAATACGGGGGCAGCACGCTACATTCGCTGACCACGGTACAATAGTCTATAAGAAACAGTAAATGATAAAATATAAATTGGGACTTATATAAAAAATATATATAGTAGGATATAAGTAATAATATGTAAGTAGAATAATTTATTGTTGGAAAAGGAAAAGGCCCCTCGGCCCTTTTCTTTTTTTGCGTAGGGAGTAATGTAATGTAAGCGTAGCAAGTGAGTGAGAAGTTGAATTAAATGGTTAAGTAGCATAGAAAAGATAATAATTATTCGAGATAATTATTATATATTCCAAATCAAATAAGGGATAATTATTACAGTAAAATTTTCATTTTAAATCCCACAAATAAATTGACCTAGTTATTGCATTGTTTGTTAATTGTTTAAACATAGAAAAGCACGTCAAACAAAAAACTGTTATTGTGATGCAATATAGGACCCACAATTCAACGAAAACACAACCTTGGACTATAACCGGTCAATGAGGACACCATTCGATAAAAACTAGAAAACGGGGACAGCCAAGTCAGTAGTCAGTCAGTAGTAGTGAGACGGCGGGCGTCCAGGCATCAATTGCCGCCCCGGCTACTCTCGACGCGGTAGCGTCGGGTACGAGTAGCTAGTAATGAGTAGTCAGTAATAGCGGGCCACCGTGACTGGGACGCGACAGCGTCCAGTACGCGAGACAATCGGTGATTCTCCGGGGGCCGCGTATCATCTGGCAGAGTTCGCGTGTAGTCCGGTTATTGTGGCAGCTCGAAAGTTCGCAACCCTCAACTGACCGAGTTCCAGACGACTGAACGTGTCGTGGTTGAAGCCCTAATATACACATAAGGTAACAGATTTCTTATACTAACCTGCGTAATTATATTAGTACCACTGTCAACTCTTCACTATCTTGCTACATCGTCTCCCGACGCGCAGAATAACGTGTTAACGATTGTATTAGTAACTTCAGGGTAGATTCAATATATTGTTGACTCTAATTTGGTTTTTTAATGTTCCTTTCGTCCGACTCACTAGAGACTAGGAGAACACGAGATTCTGCGTATGCATATCTCCGGCTTCAAAAGTAAGCCATAACCTCTACTCTTTACAGGACCTGAGACCTAGGAGTCCCTACCCCTATCCCGAAATCCCTTATCTTCTCGTAAATCCACGAAGACGAGCCAGCCCTCCAGACCAGTGTGACCAGTATTCCTTGCAGCCGCTCGCAGGGTTAGCATCCCTTGAGGATCTATTGTGTATTTCATTTGGTGACAGCGTTTTCCTTACCTTCACATAACGCTCCCATTCCTCATTATTTTACAGTATTCTGTTTCTTACCCTTCGTTTGAGTTGGAAATGTTCAATCGGGTTCAAATGTGGACTTTGAGTCGACCAGTTCATTTTTGGCACATCTACAGTTTCCAGATATTGCGTTACCATCCTGGCTACGTGTGGCCGCGCGTTGTCTTGTATAAAAATAAAGTTTTCGCTAACAAACCCAGCAAAAGGCATTACATGCTCGTCTAGAATTTCGGTAATGTATCGGTGTGCACTCAACGCTCCTCTATCAATAACTACGAGATTAGTACGGCCTTTGAATGAAATGCCTCCCAAAACATTATCGAACCTCTTCCAAAAGCAACACGTACTCGTCGAACACAATATAGCAGCATTTCGTTCCATATGTCTTCTGTATGTTTTGATGCGACCATCTGAGCCATAAAGAAGCATCCTGGACTCATCACTAAACAAAACATTTTTCAAATCTTCTATCGTCCAATGGTCGTGGTCTCTAGCAAACTGTAGTCGGCGTTGTCGATGTGCTGCTGTTAACAAAGGTCCTGTTGCTGGACAGAGAGCCCTTAGACCAAATTCCCTCAACCTTCTCACGGTAGAAGTGCTTAAAGTCCACCCGTGAGCATTTTGAAAACGGTTTTGGATTGATCTAACCGTAAAGAACCGATTTTGCAAAGAAGTAAATAACGGTCTTCTATGGCCTGATCCTGGTCGTCCCAGCCAAATTTTTTGGACCATACAACGACTGAATCCAAGCTGTCTGGCCACTTCTCTTTAACCCATTCTATTACCAATCAAAGTAACAATTTGAACATATCTAGCAAATTTCTCAGCCATAGTTTTTAATTTAAAAATTGCACAAGTTTACTCTTCGAACAACTGTACACTAGTGAAAAGTTTTTTAAAAACAGAATAGCCATATTCCAAGAAAAATAAGGTACAAACAAAACGTGCATTATTCGAAGTCGTAAAACTGATATCAATTGTACAAACTTATTACCCTTAATTGACCTGTAGGCAGTGTCTAAAAGACGCTAAAAGCATTTCTGCATTGTGGGAATTTAGTTACAATAGACTAAGTTGTAAGTTATTGAAAAATTCTTATAAAATTCTAGGTGTCCTCTTTTTCGTGACGCGCAGTGTAGATAATAAACTATTTACAAATAAATTGTCCAACTGTAAGTAATGTCCAATACATAAAATAAACAACAAATAATTGAATGAATGCATTAAATAAATATTAAAAACTTACCTCCTTTTCTCTTTTGTTATGAGAATCTTGAAACCTCTTCAACATATTTAACACTTCTTCAATTGACAAGGTGGGATTCGGTGGATGGTTGTAAATCCTCTGAAAGTAATTATTGGCTTCATCTTCTATGTCTTTTGAAACATGTGAAGAAACATCCGGGAACAAGTTATATTCCGGCAATCTAGTTTTGTCTATATTAGTATTGGGTCCCATCCTACTTAAGTTGCTAATTTGATTGACTCCTAGGACTAGAGACGAACTTGTACCAGCAGGGCCTTGATGTGACATCGGCATAATGGGAAAAGGACTACTTGATGGACCAGCATTTAAAATTCTTGAGGGAGATCCTGGCGATGGTACCAAAGGTCCTAATCCACCTTGTAAATTGAATGCAGAATTTGCTGGACCACCTAAGTTCATATTTGCCAATGTGGTGTTAAGTCCTTGCATAGAATCAACTCCAGAATGGTTGTAGAGAGGAGCAAAAACAGAAGGGTTGATTCCTCCATCTATTCCTCTCGATCGAAGTATTGCAGGTTGCTGTTGTTGTCTGGACTTTATAATCAAAGAACAGTTATTAACTGTAGTCATTACAGCATCGTGACACTCTGGACTTAAATTGTTCATGGTCCTGCAAACAAGTTTTTATATCAATATATAATTCTTTTTAAAAATAAATATTTTAAATTTTAAGGAAACTAAATCGCCTTAATTTACGAATTCCTTTGACTAGTAAAACGATCGAAAGCTCGGCATTTGGTCAGTGGCGTATCTGCGAGATTAGTTACTACAAAGTATTAGTCAAAGTTGTGCTCGCAACTATTTTATTTCCACATTTTATTTAGCAAATGTTTGCTAAACAAAATGTGGTACGTTTTTAAAATCTATATGACGAAGCTTCACCATAAATAACATTTGCTGTATTCAATTATAAGTTAATATTAACTTAATTTCTATTTAACTGGGAATAAGCCACAATTAAATGTAAAAATACGTTTATTGGCGTTTCAATTTCCACTTCGGAAATCGTTCTCAAAATACAAAGAGTAAATTTAATGGTTGTATTTTAAGAACGATTTCCGAAGTGGAAATTAAAACGTCAATAAACATATTTTTTCCTTTAATTGTGGCTTATTGCCAGTTAAAAAGTAATTAATTTAAAATGCCACAAAAAAAAACTTCAGAACAATATTAATATTAACTATAACAATAACATGGTGCGTTTTTCAATTTGGCATATGTAATACATATACATATTATGTATGTACTAAATGGGATAACATTGACTAGCATGTCTGACACTCATACAACTAATCAATTATTAGTTTATGGAAAATATTATTTGATGTTATTTTTCTGTGCTAATTGGCTTATTATTGTTAGTTTGTAGTTTAACATCGTGTTTTAAATATTGTAAGAATATTTTGAACATTTTGTTTAAACGGCTCACAGAAAAACACAGTTTCATAAAAAAAAATGAATGAAAAAAGGAGGCAAATACAGGAGAATTAAAATCTTAAAATCATATCACATCACAGGAAAATAATCTAATAGTTGTTCACGTAGGTAGTAGGTGGATTTAATCCAAACTCATTAATATTTTCTTGCTATTACCTTAAAGAGTATTGTTTTTAAAGCATATTTTATTTGGGTCATAATAATATTTTTCATTGATAACGAAAACGTCTGGGTTTGATCCCATACACAATCTTATATTCACCAAACCTGATAAAGTTACATAAATTTCGCTTGTTACTAAAACTAAATAAATTTACGAGTTGTGGGCAATTTTGAAAAATTGGTTAACAGATCATAAATTAAACAGCAACAGTAAGGAGAATGCTTTTAATACAATTTGCAAAAAAACACTTGGCCAAGCTGTGCCACTATGCCAATGTTGACATTGATAGACTAAAAAAAATTTAAAAAAAAATCAGATGAGATAAATGATTGATAGTAAAATTTAGGGTGCAAGATCAAAAGGAAGGCCGCAGAAAAGGTATAAGGATGAAGTGGCAGCTGAGTAAAAATTCACGTAAAGGCCGAAAGGTTCTATTGTAAGTGGAATTATAGAGTGAATTTCGGATGGAAATGGGGATTAAACCAAATTTCGTCTACTGCGCCGTGGTCATGAGTGTTTGCACTATCTATCATTATTGTATTACTTTAACGTTGGCAAACACCGCCCTATTCGCCATTTCTAGACGGCATTGCGTCCTGTTAACTAGAGTGCATTTTATAACCTCAAATACTGTCTGGGAAATTTGAATTCTAAACGGTTTTGACCTGAAATTTTAATGCAGAGGTGAGTGATTTATCCTTTTTTATTATTTTTTAGATTATAAACATATGCAGTGAAATTATTCGTATAATTAAAGGTATTATAGATTTTTAGATGGGGAAAAACGCTGATCCCTCACCAAAAAGAGTAGGCCAGGTATTTGGACTCCAAAAAGCTGGACAAATGTCTCAATATGCAGCAAATAGCAGCAATGGAAGGAATATCAAGTAGTTCTGTAAGGAATATAAAACAGAAAATTGCGTCTGGAGTCAGTTTGGATCCAAAGCATAAGGGTCACAGCGGAACACATCGTGTGACTACTCCTAGGACTGACCGCAAAGAAAGAGATATTTGCCTGGTAAACAGAAAGAAACCACTGCAAATGCTTACCCAGGAGATAAGAGATGAATTTTTGTTTCAGAAAGAACAGTTCATTGGAGATTTTGTCGAAAACAAAAACAAACAAACTCGAAAGTCAAGGCTTACTCCGGCTATGATAAATACATGTTTCGAATGTGCATGAAAATACAAAAACTGGACAGTGGAAGACTGGAAAAGGCATAGTTGTGTTGTTTTGCTTGAATATTAATATTGAAAACTAAAAAAAATTCGTTTTTCGTAATTTAAGTTTTGACAGAAAAAACGAAATTTATTCGGAGACGTCCCGACGAGAAATCCGACTGTATTGTGCCCACCATGAAACACTCAGCGTCACTCATGCTCTGGTCTGTGGTATCCGGCAAAGGTACAGACTGTCTCTACATGGTGGAAAACACGATGAGACAAGACCACTGCCAGAAAGTACTCGAGACAAGACTGCCACAGCTGCAGAAATGGTTTCCTGGAGAAGAGGAACATATATTTATGCACGATGGTGGTCCTTGCCACAAGAGCTAAGCTAAGAGTATTTCAACATATTTAAAACAAAAAAAAAATTAAAGTTCTTGACTGGCCAGGCAACTCGCCTGATATGAACGCTATTGAAAATGGTGGGAACTACTGAAAAGAGAGATTGAGAAAGAAAACATTACTAATAAAAGTGAGTTACTTGAAACACTCATACATGAGTGACGTGTTCAAGCTCTTTTAGCAGCCAAAGGCAGAGATACAATATATTAAATTTATCCCTACTTTGTAAAAATAATACTTTTTTAATGAATAAAAGCCAGATAATGTTTAGATAATATATTCATTATGAGACAGGTGATTGAAAAGAACAAGGAAAAAAACATTGAAACACATATGACCTTTATCAACTTAGAGAAAGCATACGATAGCGTGCCCAGGAAACAACTGTGGGAAGCAATGAGAAGAATGCGCGTTAGAGAGAAATGGGTGAATATAACACAAAGACTGTATAAAGAAACACAAGTGCAAATAAAGTTAGGTAATGAAATAACAAAAACAATCACTGCAACAAAAGGCCTCAAACAGAGATGTGGTCTCTCACCTACACTTTTTAACATATATATATATATATATATATATATATATTATATATATATATATATATATATATATATATATATATATATATATATATATATATATAGATCAGGCTTTGAAAAGATGGTATAGAAAAATGCGGAACAATGGGCATACCAGTACAAGAGAATATATTACATTCACTACTTTTCACAGATGATCAAGTAATTTTTGCACAAGACAGGGAGGATATGGAATATATGATAAGGAAATTAAAGGAAGAATATGAACTTTGGGGACTCAAGATAAATATGTGTAAGGCCGAATACTTATGTAATGTGCCCGATGTTGCAAATTTGAACTTAAGACTTTTATTAAGTATTTAGGGTCAATGATTAGCTGAGATGGTACTTGTATGAAAGATATAGAAATGAGAAAATAGCATGGGGAAAGCAAGCCACAAGAGCACTTCATGGAGTGATATGGAACAACACTCTAACCAAAGAAAACAAAATGAGGATCTTTCAAAGCATAGTGATGAATATTACCCTATATGGAGCGGAAGTATGGCCAATGACAACAACAATACGAAATAAAATAAGAACAGTTGAACTGGACTTTATGAGAAGATGTCTACAAATCACAAGAGCGGATAGAATAAGAACGGAGGAAATATAGAACAGAATGGAAGTAGAATGCTCAATTACAAAAAGTTGGAAAACAGAGCCCTACAGTGGTACGGGCATGTACAAAGAATGCCAGAGCATAGGTGGCCGAAATGAATATTAAACTGGGACCCGCCAGGAAGAAGACGGAGGGGAAGACCTGCTACAAGATGAAAAACATACATCAGAAATGCTATGATAGATAGAGACCTCAGAGAAGGTGACTGGGAGAATAGAGTGCTGTGGAGGACAAAAATGGCAAACTCATAATGGGAAAAGCAGAAGAAGAAGAAGTTAACTTTTTTAGTACAGTTTAATTACCTAAGAGTTAATATTCACAAAAAAGGACAAAACAGTAATTTTTTCAAATATATTCATAATTATGAGAAAAAATAACTTCATATACTAAATTTTTCCTTGCTTGGCCTAATAAATTGGCCAGGTACTTGTATATTTTGGAGAGGGCCAAGGTTCGCTTTTTCCTGTAATTCCATTGGAGAGAGAGTGGACAGATAAATGAGTAATCATATTTTAAAGTGACCAACATTAACTTTTCATAAGATGAACTAAAATACATAAAACCATTATTACTGACAGGTATTCTAACTATGTAATAGTACCTGTATCTTTCCTATTTACTCATGGTAAAGAGACAATTAACCATAATCTTCATATTGTTAGGCAGATGGGTGAATACAATTTTACTGGCATTAAAAGTATCTGATCAAGAACATTTGTTGAAAAAATATGCAGGCCACATGGATAAGAATGGGTCTCAGAAACACTAAATAAATGATAATGTTTATTACAGGATTGTTCTGAAAAGATAATGGCGCAGAAGAACATTGTGATAGACATGTTGCAAACATGAGAAATATTTTTTTCATTATACCTGCCAGGTAATTCTATTTCACTTTTACACAGTGAATATTAAAGCACACTATTCTTTAAAATACTGTATCATCAACAATTGCCATCAATATATTATCTTAAATATTTGTTTAAATATAATTTTTAGAAAATAACTTTCAAAATATGCTTAACATGCATGCCCATCTGAAAGGTGCTAAAATATATACACATATGCATGCCGATTGGCACCATAAGAAGAAGAATCATAGTGTTATCTATTAAATTCATTGTTTGCTTCTATAATGTTTATATTCATTATCTCCTGTTTTTTGTATTGATGAACATATTAATATTTTCTCTTCTAATACTGGATTTGCACCAGTTGATTTGATATAATACAAAACAGATCAAATGTTTGGTTTATAATATTAATTCTATATATTATCTTTTGTTATCTTCTATAATTAGTGTCACTGACACATCATGACCTTGATATTAATTGGATATTAATGGGTAATGAGACAAATAATAGCATATAACATTAAAATAAGTACTATTATTTATATATAAAGGGCTAAATATTTGTCCAATAAATCATGGAAATAAAAGTAACTCACAATGAGACAGAAGTTATTCTGCAATAGCAATTAGAGAGCATACATACTGAATTATTATTAATAATTCACTAATATTATTGTCAAAATGGAAACGATAAAGTAACTGTAAAAAAAGACTATTCAAACAAAAAAATGTTATTCTTGTGTACCTATTTATCCATTAAAAATATTAAAACTGTGATATATAGTTATAAATACAGTAATATGCTCTCACTTCTCTGTCAATAGATTTCCTGTCTATACCACTTTAAAGAAATTGTTACAGCAAATAGGAAAGGACAACTAACAGCTGATACCTATTTACCTGATTGTTCATAAAATCACATTCACACAACCAATTAATTGATAAAATGAAGTTAGTTATATAACCCCCTCTGTGGCTCAGTGGTAAGAGCGCCTACCTTTAAACCTAAAGGTCGTGAGTTCCAATCTCACCTGGGTGGAAATTTTCGTTTATTAAAAAAATTAATAAATGAAAATAATTTCTATCCTTGTGTGATCGGTACTCACCGGAGGGACCGCAGAGGTTAGTTATATATAGTATATGATTTGAAGATAACTGTTCGTTATTATAACCAGTTGTACTGTGGCCAATTAACTTTTACATCCTCCATTGTATATCCTTCTGGCTAACAGCTACGGTTTTACTGTTAACAACTACTTAAGTCACCAAGACTGACATCTTTACATGCCCTCTGAAGTACAGTGACAGTTTAGTTAAATTGTAAAATTTCTGTTCTCTACTGAGATTGGACTGGGGCCTTCTAGCTTGGTAAAGCAGAATGTTTAAGGTAACATGTACAAAAAAAAGGACACCAACTAACACCTAATTAAATAGATTCATAAAATCATATTGACACAGCTTATTAACATAGTGCTTGCAGATGTCCCATCAAGTGACTTACACCTCTTTGAGCTGATACTCTGAAGTGAAACTTATTTATTAATAAAAATGTGTATAATCAATAGCATACATGCGTGCCATCTACACACTGGTGAAGGCACCATGTGGCTCACATGTATGCCATCCGCATAGAACATGTTAATTAACTAAAAATTCATTATAACTTGCATTTGGTAAACTCCTGTAATTGGACCTTATAACAAAATTTTGGCAGTTCATGTAGAGAAGTGAAACAATGATTAGGGGCAGGGAAACAATGATTAGGGGCAGGGAAACAATGATTAGGGCAGAGCAACTTTCTGGTATATGATAATATGGAATAAGTTTGAAATAAAAAAAATTGATGACATCAAAAAAAAGTAAGGTCATATTTTCTATAGTCTCTGTCAGTTCCAGTAACATAGAGGATTAAAAAATGGAAAAATGGGGAAATAAAATTGTAGAATAGAAGTTTTGCTAAAAAAAAACAGTCACACAAATAGTAGTAAAATACTGGCTCATTTTTGAAACTACTGTTGTTCAATTATATTTAAAAATTAATTCCAAATATACCAAAAATATACTATTAACATCAACTACAGTGAACAAAGCAATACATATTGGTCTGCAAAATTTAGCCCAAAAATAAATTTCTCTATGGTTGAGCATGACTATACTGGATTTACTATAAGCCAATTGGCTGTATTGATACAGGGTACTTTTAGGAAAAAGACTAGTACAAATTTAACAATAATCACCAAAAATATTTATAGTATGTGTATAAAACCAAAAGTGAGTAACATTGTCATCATCAATGAACAATGCCATAATTCAGCATTAAATATATATTATTCATATGCATTTCAATATACTTATCTATATTACTTTGTTCCAATGAAATACTAAATATTCATAAAAAAAAGTAGACACAGTATGCAATCAAATGCTTACATATGTTCAACAAGTGGTGGTGACACTATGTTCAGCATAAAATAGTAAAAACTCCCAAATCTGGCAACAAGATTCATAATTATATTATTATGAGATTTTTTTTAATTGAAATAAGCCTTGATTTATTGTTGATAGGCCTACCATTAATTTATTAACCCCAAATATTAAAAAGAATTGTTTTACAAAAAAATACCAATTGTCTAATGCTAACAAAATAAATATTAAAATAATAATAATTACCTTTGCAGACATAATGTCATTGTAGTCAAAGTTTCTGTAGGCAAGGGAACAACTTTGCCTAGGGATTCATCTGCTTTTGCTATCTGTGGAACACGTCTATGTAAGAATTTTACACAGGCCATAACAAAAGCTTCTCCATGTTCATTTATTTTATCAGAAAGCCATTTTTCTAATTTTAAGTACTCCCTTCGTGAAGCTAGGCAAGCTAAATCTATGATGAAAGGATATGACTGGGCAGATTGTGCATTCAAAAGACTTGATAGTGCTTTTAAATCCTGAGCTACATCAAGAATTCTGGACAGCCTGGTTTGATCACATTCACCCCGAACATACCATTCTGCCATAGCATGCATAATAATGGGTTTAATATTGATATTCTGTGTGTGCCATGCATGATGTAAAATTATGGCAGAGTTGGGATGATTTCCTAAAAATATGGGGATCAAGTTAGTGAGCAAGTCACGTCTTAGTAAAGTAACTTGGCCAGAAATCTGAAGTAATGCTAAAACTAGTACATCTGGACAACTATGTACTGGTATTTTAAACAATTCTTGAACATGTGTATATAACCCGCATTCTGATAGGCTCAATAAAAGTTCAACAAGATTTAAAGATCTCCAATTTGCTAATTCTTTGCTATCTTGCTCAGGAGGAGTTTTCAGCACATCAACTGCCACTGGTGCATAAGTATAGTCCACAAAACAAAACACATCTGGATTTTTAAGGATATTCTGAACTAAACTAAACTGTCCTTCCACATTTTGCCATCTTTTATATATCTGATCCACAGGAAATGTTTCTGGGTGAAATCCAAATGTTTGTAAACCTTGCCTAAGTCCATTTATTAATAGACACAATCCTTGCCTATCTTTTACAATGAACTCAGGATGATCTAGTTCGGCAACAATACTATTCCACTGAAAATTAGGAACAATTTCTTTAAGAGCTTGAATTAAGTTATCAATGTTCCATGATGTTCTATTATCAGATCCTTTATTAAAAGATCCTGGTGTTTGAATGGAAATAGAGTCTTCAAGGCCACTGTGTGTTCGGCACATAACAGCAAGGATACGAGATACTATTGCAGGGGAAATATCTCTGCCACCCAATTTCATGAGGTTGTTGCGGCATTCTTCAACAGACGAGGTAAAATTATATCCTAATTCAGTCACTACATCTGATAAAGATGTTTCAAGCATTCCCCCGGATAAACCGGGGCCTTCAGATGACATTTCTGGGGCCAATTCACTATGTTCTGGATACACTAATGGCGCAAGCACTACAGGTACAAGATCCTTGGGAAAATCTCGTTGTAAGGTTTCAAGAAATGTTGTATGGTTGTCGTTAGTAAGACCTACTTCCTTGGGGTTTTTTAGAACAGCAGATATAATGAGGTGAAGTACTTCAGGAGTTGTTTCGTGAAGTCCACCTTCGTGTTGACTGCTACTTCCTTCTGTATCAATATATGACTGAACTAAGGCAGGTACTGTAGTTCTTAAGTGAGCTTGGGCTAGATTTTTGGCTTCTGTATGAGATGAGTGGCAAAGAGCAATGGCAAAAACAACTTCCTGGACAGCTGAGAGGCGAAGGCACTTGCTCAACTGATGGAAGAACTGAGGTCCAAGTTTTAAAGTCTACAACAAAAAATGCATTAAGCATATTTTAATTCTTTGCAAATAACACTTACCTTGTGATTTATCAAAGGATTGTCTGTAATATAACAAAGGGCTGTTAACAATGATGGTTTGTTTAACAAACTGGAGCACTGTTCCAATAATGCTTGGTTTTGGGGAGCTGGAGCTGATATTTTATTTGTAGACTCTGAAAAGTCCACTGATGAAAACAGACATTGGAGCAAGTGACGATCCGCCTCCAGACCATGCAAAGAAACAAGCTGTCAAAAAAATATGCTTGTTAAATAAAATTTTGTGAAACGCGTTCGAAACTAGATGCGTTTTTTGCATTATAATTACATCTGTAGAGGATTCTAAACAAAAAACAACAGTCAAAACACCTTTGTTCATCTTTTCATTACTATGTCGGTAAAAAAGTTTCCTATGTGAAAATTTCAGAAAAACATGGCGGATGATCTAATTTGTCATTTTTTATAATAATCCTGTAGACACGTTTGCACACTGGAAATTTTTAAAAATTGTACTTACTTTAGTTATGTCTCCTACTACTTGCTTATAGTTTTTTTTAGTTAATGTGGCAATCAAATAACTTATTTGTGACAAAGTGAAAGACAACGAGTCTAGGTTCATACTTCCATGAACACGGCCTCGAAAGCTTCAAATACGCTTGAAGCTTTCTTAGGTATATGCTGAGTTTTTATCCAAAAAGTCTTATTTGTTTTTAAAAAATAACTAAATTTTTTATGGTCCAAGACCATCATCGAGTCTTTAATGAACTTTCTCCACTTAATTTATCACACTCATTGTAATTACAGAACTCACGCAACACACAACACATGCACAAATAAAACTCTTATGAACTGCGCAGAATTCAAATGTCATTTGTGTCAAACCTAACAACTACAAACATAGGAATTTAATTATGTTACTGGTTAAAGTCGATTAGAAGTTTTCAAAGTTTTGTAGATTTTTATTGGATTCGACCATCGACAAAAAGACAGTCTTTTTGCTCGTTAGATTGGACATAATTGACACAATATTCTAATTCTATCCATCATAATATTATTTTATTATCTTAGTAGTGTAGTAGAGAGACTGTTAACTTACTGAGTAAAAACTTGAGTGTTGTTGGTTGTATAGTCAGTCTGTGTGAACAACTGCAGAAGTCTCATTCAAAAATGAATCAACTAGTTGCTCCTCGCGCTGAATAATACTCTTAAATATCAATCTTTAAGTAATTATGTTTTTCTTGGGCCACACACGTTAGAGTTTTTTCTTCATCTGCACCAAATGAGAAGGTGTTATAAGACTTCGCTTACATGAACTTCTAGTTTTTTAATATATTATCAATTTTTAATGTTTCCATTCAACAATAGAGGTTCAAGGGATGTTAACATGGACTCCATTCTTTTTACGCTGGAACTTGACTATAGTTCTATTGTTCTATTTTGTATCCAAAATCACGAATTGGATACATTCTGTTAACAATTTTTAAATTTAAACCTGACACCATGCTGAATTACATGGTTCACTAAAACTTTTTACGGCATGAACAATGTACTGAAGACATTATTGTCTGTTTCTTATATACTATGATTTATATAAGGATACGCGGTCCTTTCATCTACTGTCTGAACTGAACGTTCACATTTATTCGACTGAGTGGTAACATTTGCTTGTATTAATGATCATTATATATAATTAAGGATTTATTACACACGCTCAGTTACACTTGTACCAAGAATGTCCAGGACTTATGTAGGATTCTCTACTGAAACGGCAGTGCATCATCTCGTACAGAAGATGGAGTACGTTCTTGAAAACCAAGATGTGATATTGTGTGCATTTGTCGATATAGAGGTTACAACACACTCTATGAATTAATTACAAGCACTTACAAGAGCGTTCGACCAAAAGGAATAGACGAAAAGAACTGCTACTGGATATATGGCATGCTGTAGATCCCTGTGATATATATGCAACGTTACTGGCAGTTACTGGGGGATACAGTGTCAGCACATGTAGTCAGACATTCTCTACAGGGGTTGATGAAATTTTAGACCACGGCAAATTTATGCTTGGTTATATGTGGGGTATAAAAACAGGGATTAAGAATTTATAACCCATAACATATGCATCACTGATATGGTGGTGATGGCAAAAAATTGCCATCCTCAAACTGAGCAAAGTGCAAAAACTTGCTTGTCTTGGAATTACAGGGGTCTAAAGGGTACACAGATAGCAGCTATGGATGCCCTATTAGACCTCCCTCCTTTACATTATAAGGAGGGAGTCGAGAATGGTATATTATGGAATTGGAGAAAACCTGAGTAAGGTAATGGTTGTATTAGGAGAGTGACGTTATAAACGACCATATATAGTACCAGACTTCTGAAGATGTGGTACCCAAATACAGGCATATTATCTTTTCAGGTGAATATCTGCCCACGAAGGGATTGGGCAGAGGAAGTATGTGATGCAATCAACTGGCTTCAGGGTTACACCTAGTACACAGACTTACAAAGACAAACAGAATAAAATAGTTCTTCTGTATTTCTATAGAGAAACCAGGTTATAGGTGGTTTAAAAGATTTTGGGTCTTAATAGAATGTTTTTTCCTATTTGATATGAATATCACCCTAAAAACTCTTTATTGTGTTACATTTTATAAACTTAATCCTTTTAAATATGCTCTGTTGTAATTTGTTCTATTATTTGTTTTTAGTAGAACAGTAGATATCATCCCCATTTATAAGTAGGAAAAGTGAATCTCCAATATTTTTTCACTTTTCAGTGTGTTTCTTTAGAAATTATAATTGTGACGATATGATAACCGTGATCTGTGTTGTAAATCTAATGATAATAATCAACCTTAAAAAAATATTAAGCTCTATTTTATTATTATATTTAATTCAAAAATAACAAAGAACTGTTATTTATTTGCATAATTCCCCATTGTCACAATGACAGTTGAACGTAATTCATTTTTTTCCGGAATGTTGGTTGTATAGCCATTACCGTTAAATATTTTTTGAATTTTGAAAATCATATGTTTTTATCAAATCAACCAAACAGTAAATGGTTGTTCAACTTTATTTTTATTCTTTGGTGAAAAAACATAAAAGTGAGTTTAGTGTATATATAATTCGTTAAGACGAAAGGAAATGTACTCCGAAAAACTAAATAGATCATATTCCGAATCGGATCTCTATATATCACAATTTGTCAACCTGTCTGTTGGTTCTCCCAGGGATTATAATAAAGAGCAATATTCTGGTTGTTCTATTATAAGGAGAATTTATGTTGAAGAAATTGTCTCACCAAGCCGAAATCTAGGTGACACTACATATTCAACATTTGGAAATGGTAAAAAAAGTTGTAGCTATAATGAAATAGGTAAGATCATCAAACTGATTTATTTTTGTAAAATTTGAAATACACTATTATAACTAAAGCTTATAGTGGCAGATTATTAACTTTTTAATTACTTGTCATCCATATGGTATATGGGAATATTCTTTTATTACAATTTCTAATCAAAGTGCCACACATCCAAATTGTGTACAAAGAAGTTGTAATTTATACATAGGTATAGACTTGTCTGATGGTAAGATTTTCCCACTTCAGATATTCGAGATAATTTATGTGATTATTGGTTTAATTATAATTTTAACACTCTTTGCTATTATTAAAATATATTTTTCACATTCTCAACTGCTGAGTTTATTATTTGGAACACATACAAGGAAGTACAATAAAGTATATTTTTACATTTTGAAAATGCAAAAATTTACTTCTTTTTATTCCTGAAATTTCTTAATATTGATGTATAAAAATAAACAATTTATAAATAATGCCCACTTGAAATCTAAAAAACAACAGCTGAAAAACAGTTGACAAAAACTGACTATTCAAATTTATATACAAATAAATTTTTAGTATACTTTTAACCTACTTACAATCATTAGATTATTGCCTTGTTCTTATAGAATAAATGAATATTATAAAGCAGATATTGTAGTCCTTACAAAGAAGATCAACAAAAAGTGAGTAATCTAATCTTTTTCACTTTAGATTTAGATGTTCAATATTTACAATTTTTTATGCAAGGCATGTGTGATGTTTCTTTTTATTAAATTAGTGATTTTTAAAAAAAAATTATTTACTGCGAATTTACAATCTACTTCAATACAGTAATAAGTAAATATGATGTATGTTCTTGACTTGTGGTAGGTGTCGTCCATTGACAACTCTCTGGAATTTACCTAGCAGCTAGGTCTTCTGGCCAAAGTCTTTTTAGATGTCTGTCAACCAGTGGGAGCTTGAATAATTTGTCTATGAGACAGTTTGTCTCTGGAGTCTTCTGGAGTGGTCAGTGCAATTTGTTAAATACTAATATTTCGTTGATGTCTGATGCTAGTATACCAGTGTCATCAGCAAATGTTGCTATTAGTGTATTTTTGCTAATAGGAATATCAGCAGTGAAGATTTGGTAAAGGAATGGGTCAAGTACAGTGCCTTGAGGTACACCTGATTTTATTTGGTGGTAGTTAGACCTTCGTATTTAACTTGGAAGTATCAGTTGGACAAGTATGATTTAAGGAGGAGTTAGATTTGGTCAGTTAGCTGAGTTTTTATTTTAAAGAGAAGACACTAGTGCCACACTCTATCAAATGCTTGCTGTATATCGAGGAATGCTGATAGACAGATTTGTATCCCTTCTAGGCTCTCTTTTATTTTGTTGACTAATCTATGGCACTGTTGTATGGTTGAGTGATTTGAGCAAAAACCAAACTGATGATCTGGGATAAGGTTTTCTATAGGTATTATTGTTTCTATTCTGTTTAAGATTAACCTTTCGAAGACTTTTGATAAAGTCAGAAGGAGACTTATTGGTCTGTATGAACTGGATTTAGTTAGAGGTTTACCAGTTTAGGTATCGTTATAATTTGTGCATACTTCTATTGCACTGGAAAATAGCATAGTCTCAGAAGGCTATTAGAAATAATGGTTATTAAGACTACACCTTTTCTTGGGAGTTATTTTAAGATTTCATCAATAAGGTCAAATCCTGGAGCTTTATGAGGGTTAAGCAAGTTGATTTCATTACAGACTTCATTTGGTGAGAAGTATTTTAGTGGTAATGGTAGCTGACAGGGTGCATTAAGAAAGTCTCTAATTTTCTCGTCGTTATTATCGTTGGCCTGTGGGGTGGAGAAGACATTTGATAGATGTTCTGCAAATTTCTTGGATTTTTCTATATCTGATCAAGCCCAGGTTCCATCATTTTTCCTAATTGGTCATTTCGTTACTACCAGCTTTTTGAATTTCTTTGTGGCTTTCCAAAAAGAGTTGTCATCAAGAGAAAGGTTTGTGACATATCTTTCAAAGGATTCGTTTTTGGCTGTTTGGATAGCGGATGGCTGTTTGCCATTTGCGACAGGCTCTTCTTCTCTCTTCTACTAGTGTTCTAATGTGGAGTATACTATATATGGTATAATATAACTTTCATCAATGGTTTTTTCCTTTACAGGAGTAGTTTTGGAATAATGAGATTTCTGCTTCAATGTGGGAACCACTTCTAAAATAATAGGGTTAACATGTTGCATGCTTAAAGCCTAACAATATACTGTTGTTAGGTGCTGAGAGTATTTTTTTTTTGTAAATCGTTATAACTGTGATTGGTTTCTTGTTGGCAGAATACATTTATAAAGTTTTTGCTAAATTTTGTCTTTTTTAACGCGCGACGCTCATAGGCGTGATCAACACCATTCATAAACTCATTATATTGGGGTATAGGTAGGGGTTTCATTTTTATTTGGTTTCTTTTGTTTTCTATCTAAAAATTATCTATAAAAAGAGAATGCCTAATGTTTAGTTTATCTCGCATTAGTTCTAAAACTACTTTTTCAGAGTGACCTTTCCCACCTTCAGAGTCATAGCGGCCTGTATATTAATTTTGGCCTAGAAATGGGATTTTTATGATTTAGCAAAGATATTTTTGTTTATTTCCATTATTAACAAATATTCATATAAACAATAAATTCCATCAAACAACCAATAAAAGAACAGTGCATATCAGGGGTCTATTGAGTATAACTGGTCTATTGGTTATAAAATAAAAAATATATACTCATTTATAATAAAGCTCTTATGTTATATTTCAAATATAAAATGTATTACACACAAAAACCAGGAATACATTTAGTGTGTTCTCAGTTTAGGCCACTAACATCCTGCATATGTCAACCTTCATTATTTAAAACATTCACATAGAATTGAAGTTCCTTTATCCACTTCCTGTTTGTACTAAAATGTTTGTTTAAAAGCCCAATTATATCATTTGGTATTGCTTCATTTATTTTTACTCCTAGAGTAAGACTAGAGTTTATATTTTATACCTGCTGGTCATTGCTTTAACTTTTCTGGTTACTAATAATGCAGTTCCATTGTCAGATTTATAAAATGTCTCCTTGAACAAGAAGTTTCAACCTTGTTACAGTTTTTTCACAATTTTATAGTTCTACATCACTTGATGATTTGGAAATGCCATCTTGGGAGCCTTTTTAATCTCCTCTTTTTTTCAGTTTTGCAATAAAGTATTTCAAATGATCAATATTTAATAACAGTTATTCACCAAATATATCAATATGCACTTGAGGTTGAAATATTGTATTTTTTTCTTCATACAATACTTCCCAATAATTCCAAAAACTTGATAATAAGCCAGTCGAAAGCTTTTCTTGTAACTGAATAGACAAGTTGTATTTTATGTAAATAAATTGTTTTAAGAAACCATTGTACATCTATCATTTAAAGAGAGCTGCATTGAAACAATGGTCAAATGTTTCCTTTATGATCATACATTAGAAACTAAAGGAAACTGCTAGCACAACAGCCTAGAACATAGAATAATGAACTAGTAATTAAGAAAAGAAAAAAAAAACTAAAATTATAGTAATAGATTCACTATAATACTGTTGTTGTAATAATTTTATTTATGCCTATTATTTTGTCATTTAAATGAATGATGCCTGGTTGCACCAACAGATCTTAAGTTCCAGCTTAGCCCAGCTCCGCTTATATACTCCATTCGTTTAGCTCGGGCATATTTGGACAGATTCATTGTCGGAAACCCACAACACAACAATTACTACTTCTCAGTAGTAATAGCTCAAGTATACTACTATTGCATTCTTTGAAAAAAAGAAGCATTATTCTAAATAGTGGAAGTGTATACTAAACCCATCAAATTTTTCGTAGTATATATTTAAAAAATATATTTTAGTTGTCATAATAAAATAGAACGTAAAAGTTCTATTTTATTTACTATTAAGTTTGTTTACTATTAATATTGGCTATGAGTACGTGTGCTTAGTTGTATAGTAATTTCCAGCCACTTAGTCTGTCAAAACGTAATTAACTTCACAAAACAATAATTACTAAATTCACTAGACAGTTCGGACTGGGAATAGCGAACCGAATATAGCTAGGGCCGCCTTAACTATCACTTACATTGCACCATACGTTTCGATTATTATCTAAGCATGTCTTAACTGAGACGTAATTTAAGATACAATTCACGTGGCAACCATGTAACTTGTCAATCATCGAGTGTCGAAAAGAGTCTTAAGATTTTTTATGTTCATGTGCTAATTTAAATAAGTACATTTTGTAATGCTGTCATATGTTAACAACAAAAAGTCATTAGGTACACATTACAGTAAATGACCATTTACTTGTAGCTTTTTCTGGAAAAGATCACTGCCTATCTGAATCAACCAATAGCATAATCTACATTATATGGGTTTTTCTATATTATATGGCAGATTATGGTAGTTGTTGACCTTACCTTGCAAAAATGCAACAAACATTAAACACTGACAAAGATGTAATTTACTGAAATGTGTACTTAATGAGTTTTTCTTGTCATCAGACGATACATAGTTTTTTTCTGAATTTAAATATTGATCTTAAGTATCTTAAGTAGTAACTCCCCTTGTTATATTTATTTTAGAATGTAACAGATACAGGTGAAAATAAAAAAAAATTGTATCTCTATTCCACAACACAACTGTCAATTTTTTGAGGTTAGATTTCTCATCTAGACAGCAACAAACTGAGTATAACGAAGACTTGAGATGTTGAAGTGTAGGAATAATTTGATTTCGCAGTAATTGAAGATATTCGCAGTATATAGAAGGGCCAATAATATGATCACCTATAATTCCGATCCAAACAATCAATTCTTGTGGATACTGAGGACGCACAGACACACTCAAATGCTTATTTTCCTGAGATCCAGAACATACAACGGATGGATTATGTTTCTTGTGAATTCTGAAGGAAAACAAAATATTCTTCAAAAAATTATTATTTGAATAGCATTTCTCCATAATTTCACAGAATATTTAAAATGATATTCAGGAAATATTTCTTGACCTTTATAACAATGGTAGTTGTTTCTTTTCAAAATAGTCCTCACTGTTCTTTCATTTAGGTAAGTCAACTTCATATCGGCAATTTGTTTACTTGAACAAGGTGTCGCGTCTGCCAATGCACAGACCTCGGTTTTTCTAATTTTCCGTTTTTGATTAATTTTAAAATTTTTCTTTCTTTTCAAATTGGTGAACAATGGCCAATGCGTAATGTGGTTTGCAACGTCGAAATACAGGGCGAACAATCACAGGCGTTTGGAACGCATGTTGGGCTGCGACAGGGAGACGCGCTGGCGTGTCTCCTTTTCAACAAAGCACTGGAAAAGGCGATCAGAGATGCCCGAACAGACAACAGAGTTTTTAATAAATCATCCCAAATTTTGGCATATGCAGATGATGTGGACCTAGTTGCCCGCACAACACGCAAGCTAGGAGAAATGTATACCACCTTCTCAAATGCCTCAAAATCTATGGGCCTGCAAGTAAATGAGGAGAAAAATAAGATGATGGCTTCAACACCCAACAATAGAGTCAGGAACATCGGTCCCCAATTCACGGTTGATAACTCTACCTTTGAAGTGGTGGACAAATTCACATACTTAGGCTCCCTGATCACCAGAGAGAACGCTATAACGGAAGAAATCAAGCGAAGGATAATAATGGCAAACAGATGCTATTTTGGACTGAGTAGAAATATGAGAAGTAGAAACTTAAGCCAAAAAAACAAAAATAACCATATACAAAACCCTTACACAGTCAGTGTTGACATATGGATCGGAAACATGGACCATCTCCAAGGCAGACGAAGACCTTCTGCTTATATTTGAACGAAGGATCCTGAGAGGAATATTTGGTGGCATCTGTGAAAATGGTGTTTGGAGGAGGAGATATAACTACGAGGTATACCACAGATATAAACAAATATTTGGTGGTAAAGACGTAGTATCTCTTATAAGAATAGGAAGACTAAGATGGGCAGGACATCTAGCAAGATCACAGCAGAACAACCCTCCTAGAAGAATCCTTATGTCACAACCCGTGGGAAGTAGAAAAAGGGGTAGGCCAAAACTCAGATGGAAGGATGGTGTAGATGAGGATGGTAGAAAGATAGGCGCAGCAAACTAGCAACGGGGTTGGCAATGGATAGGACTGCCTGGCGTAATAGACTTGGGAAGGTCGAGGTTCTTTCATAGAGCTGTAGCACCATTGATGATGATGAACAATAGCCAATACAGTTTTTTCTACAGGTATATGTTCAAAAGCTGTAATAAAAAATTAATAGTTTCTTGCACAGAATAGCCCCCAATTTATTATTTGTCCTTTTTTGCAGTTATGTGATATGTATATACATATATATATATATATATATATATATATATATATATATATATATATATATATATATATGCGATTTAGTCATGATCATGCATTTAGGTTACTTCAACTTCATCTTCCGACGGTATTCATGATAGCATTCGTTAAGGCGTGGCATTACGTTCTGTAAATTATTTAAATATCGCTTCACGTAGACATTGAATAGTGGGCATAGTTCGCAACCTTGACGGACTCGTATCTGTATTTTGATATTTCGTGTGTTCTAGTTGTCAACTCATACCTTGGCAGTTTGATGCGGCAAAATAGGTATCAGTAGTCATTAAAGATAGTGGTCACTGTGGATTGTATGATTGTAATCAATTTAGTTTTCTGTTACATTTGAAAGTCTCCACGTTCATATATTATATAATTTAATTAACTGACTAATTTAATTTAATGTCTCGACTAATTTAATTTCTTTTTAGGTAATTTGTGTAGTCCGATTTACAAAGAGACTTTTTGTAGTCCAATGTACAAAAGAAGAGATATTTACAAGGTTGAAGATATTACAGCAGAGCCAATGGATGTAGATAATTCATATACTGAAGAACGTTTCCCTTCAATGATATGCCCAGAAAGAGTAAGATGTAGACAAAGCAAAAACAAAAGCAATAATCAATTATTAAAATCAGTGAATCAAATATGTAAACCAGAATTTCCATTAGTTAACAGTACCGAAGATCTAGACACTGATGAGACTGATACCGAAACTGAAGACAATGAAAATTTACCCCAATCATCACAGAAAATTAGAGTTATACATATTACTCCCACAAAAAAGAATAATAATTTATACAAGAGCTGTATGCTTTTTATGGTATTAGCTGTTGCTTTCTATTTTTATTTGTATCCAAATACCATATTCGTAAATAGTGATATCCAGATAGATGGCGTTAAAAGAGACTTAGAAACGAACATTATTGGACATACAAAAATAGTAGAAAATTTTATTCGGTTATTACAAAAAAGAGCTACATGGGCTGATAAGTTAAAAGTTGTAAGTTTTGTAGGATCCCAAGGAGTGGGAAAGACGTATTTTGCTAGGTTAGTTCAAAAGCACTTTCACCACAATTTGGCACATGAGATTCATGCCTCGCATTTAGATTATAAAGTTAAAAGGCGGGAAATTTTGGAGGCAATCAACAGTTGCTGTTTAAATTTAATTGTCATCGATGACTTAACAAATACTGATAGTATTGAACTCTTTGAGTTTGCTTATTCTCTTCCTAAAGACTCATTCATACTGTTAATTGCTATCTATAACACACATTATGTTGACAAGAGTCTAAATAAACTTATAAATTACGACGATCCAATAAAAATACGTAATAGTTTCGACAATTCTGGAATTAAAGGTTACGAGATATTTGTATTTGAAGAGCTAACAAGTGATCAAATTAGAGACTGGGTTCAAACAGAACTTACCTTAAAAAACATCTCTTTACCACATAGTAAAGAAATCATGGAGACTGTTTTAGAAAAACATGATACAAAAAGTGGATTAAAAGGACTGCGTTCCAAAGTATTATTGGAATTGCAAAAATATATAAACTAAATTTTTCAATTGATATTGCATTTAAATTTTTATTGTTTTAGCCTGTCAGGCCATGATTTTAACTTTATTGTTTCTTCCACATGTCTGTGACATACTGGAACTTTGAGTTGATCGTTAGTTCTTTTTTAGCATTCCGTTTTTAATTATTTCTTTAGTTTCGTTTATCAATGTATCTGTTACTATGTAATTCGTCACTCAAGTGTTCTTATATTGTTAATTCAAATTTTGCATGACAAACTATTTCGAATTTTTGACTGATATTTGTAAAAAATATGTAATGTTACAATTGTTTTATTTAAATTGATATTTTACTTTTACTGTGTTTTATTGCTTTTTTGAATTCCTATGAGGACCATCCCTATTTCCTATAAAAATATTGAAGCATAACGAAGACTTCGTCACGGCAATATCAGAAACTGGATTCCAGGCATTGATACAACAATTGAAAACACTATTACACAACTGATACAAACACGATATCTAAGAAATAAAAACGTAAAACTTTACATTTACAAGACCGGTTTTGATATATGGAGCTAAAACATAGATTTTATCCCAAACGGTCAAAGACTATTTGATATTCTTGAAAGAAAAATACTTCGAAAGATTTTTGTGGCAGTAAATGAACTAAAAATATATAAGTACATGATTACTGCTCTTAAGGAGACAAGATGGCTGGAGAAAGGTGTCAGGGACACTAAAACGCACACAATTCTATATAGTGGAAAGGAACAAGGAAGCAAAGAATGCGGAGTTGCATTTGTGGTGGATAATGATTTTAAGTAAAAAATCATAGACTTTCAGACAGTCAGTGAAAGGATATGAAAGTTGAGAATTTGCACCCACTTCCTCAACCTTTTTTTCGTCTTCATAGGGGGGGGGGGGGTGTGGAATCTTCAAAAGACGTCCAGGACGCCTCCTGATTGACCTTAGTGAAGGAATCGTTCTTCGTACTCCCGGCGTACTCAATTTGTTTAACCTAACAATGATAAACATTCACTGCTCAACAGAAGAACAAGAACAACATACAAAGGAAAACTTCTACCAAGAGCTAGAGATAGTATATGACAAAGCGACTAAAAATAACATCAGGATTATAATGGGTGATATGAATGCTAAAATAGGCAAGGAGCCGCAGTTCAAGGCACAACAGGAAAACACCCACTGCACAATGAAACAAGCGAGAATGGGGAGTTTTTGATAAATTTTGCCACCAGTAAAAACATGCTTACAAACAAGTTCCACATGCTTCCCATATTCCGAAAATGACACGGAACAACAATCAATCAAATCGATCATGTGCTGATAGACAAAAGAGCAGTCAGTAGTATCACAGATGTGAGAACACGACGAGGAGCATGCTGTGGATCAGACCATCTTTTACTCCAAGTAAATTTAGATGTAGAGTTAACAAAGAGCAAACAAACTGGACCTGGAAAACGGAAGATTCAGGAATGTAAAGAGAAGTTCGAAGATGTTACAAATGAGTTAAGGACGCCAGAAATGCTCTCCATAAAGGATAAATGGAGTCATATCAAAACAGCAGTACTGACAGCGGCAGCGCCCACCTTGGGAAACAAGAAAAATTGGAGAAGAGGAGCATGGTTCGACGACGAATGCAGACAAGCAAAGAGGAAAGAAGTGAAGCACACAAAATGTATATAACAAGAAGAACACGGGAAAGACGAACATCATTTGAAGTCGCAAGACGGAAAGCAGACAAGATATGTAAAAATAAAAAAAGAGGTTATGAAAATGGACAAAGAAAAAAAAATGGAAGATAAATTCAAAAACAACGAAATTAGAGGATCTTACGAATATCTAAAAAAGATATAAAGTGGCTATAAACTTGTTTAAGTCTATGTGAAGATGAAAGTGGGCAAATAATCAGTGACCAACAGAAAGTCACAGAAACCTGGAAAGCAAAATGTAAGCAAATTATAACTGAAAACTAAGCTTAGACATCTGAATTAGAGTTATTAAATGCTAGGTTGTGTCAGTCCTTCTGTGAAGTCGAAGCCTGGACATTAAAATTAAATATCATGAGATATCATCGCAGAATGCATAGAATATCATAGACACAACACATTACGAATTGAACAGTATTAACACCATAAATAGAGAGTTAGAACTTATAACAACTACGAAGAAAAGAAAGACTTCGTACCTAGGCCACGTAATGATAAATGACAAGTATAATTTGCTGCAAATAATAATTGACGGGAAGATAAAGTGCTGAAACGAAGAAATCAGAAGAGTCATGTCATGGCAATTTGTGGAAATTATATTTAAAACTGTTTGCCACTAGCATGAGTTTTCCCCATTCGCTTAACATTTCAGTAGCTTGCATTTTCTACCACGATGTGATCAAGTACAAGCAAGACACGAACGAAACTATCAGTAAACTAATTTGAAGAATTAAGTTAAAGAATGATTAAAAAATCCAATTTTTAACTGGCCATCCATCCCAATAAAATCCATTGCCTACCTACCTAGATTTCCAAGAATTTTAACGGGAGCCAATTCACGCAAATCCTTTTATCGGTAAAGAGCTTATTACCTGCAAGTGGGAGCCAATTCATGTGCACCCATTATTTCAGTATAATGTTATTATAGTACAATATGTTTTTTCATCATTGCGGCCTGAAAATATTTTCGGACATTTGATGCATGAACGCCCTTTCTATCAGCATCATGTCCAGCACGTTTCGGCGAACACACTACCAATTCAACTAAAGCGAAAGCGGAGCGTTACCCCACCACAATCGCTTACATTTTTTGGTAAATGTCAGGATTCTTATTGCAAGGATTGCTCTGACAGCCAATGAAGTGTTGCTCGTATCCTGCCACTAGGAGGCACGTACCTTATGTGGGATATACACAAATGGTATTCAGTTGTGACGAATAATCTAATGTCAGTCGCACCTGTGACAACTCATATAATAATGGGACAAAGTAATAATAGATTTATACAAATAATGCTTTATTATAAAAATAGTTATAATATATAACAGATAATCACATAAATTCCACGGATGATTTGTTGAAATGAATGAAAATAATAAAAATGCATGAAGCTTAACCTAAACCAGAATCAGATTGGTATAAAATATATACAGGTTGTTTTAACAAGAAATAATAATAATAATACATAAAATTAAATGTATGAAGTACACTTGAAACACAGTTAGTGGTATATTTTAGCAACATACTGATTAATTCACTATGGAACATGTTTCTTGTTTAAACATTTGTATACACAACCTAAGTCTATTTCTACGTTAACTTAACTACTAGCTTAATCCTAATCTACTTCTAGCCTCCTAAAATTGCCTGTTATTCCACATAAGGAATCGCCTTCAGAGCCACAAGAGGTCACGTTCCTTTTCAGAGCTGATACGGCTCCTTCTTTTGCTTTCTCGGTGAATAGATCTTCATTAACTTCCATCCTGTCATGAGACATTAAAATAGGATGAGCTGCGTACAGTTCTTTTTTCCATAATGCTGAAAAACAAGTATTTCTATTAGTTTCTTTAAATTTCAAATTGTCCATGAAGAGACGAATGGAAATAAGTTGGACTTTATTTAAATATAATCCAGTTGACATTAAAAAAATGCAATGCGATGAATATGATTGTTTTGTAACTGCAAGCTCTAAATCAAATAAAATTGGAAAGATCAATTACAAGGCTAAAATAAAATAAGAAAACGATGAATTTAAGATCATCTGTTAAATGTCTATAAAGTAATATAAGCTAAAATTTGATTATTATTTTTGAAGAAACAATTTTTGGCATCGCTGTATTTTAAATCTATACTACTCCACCAATTCATTAAGTTCATGTGTGTAATCATCGTGCGATTCGTACATGGAATCACACCAGAGAAGAATCCTGGGGCTTTAAATGCCCAGACTTAAAATGTATAAGTGAAACGAATTGACTTACCTATCATTTCAGCCATCGGCATGGTTCCTCCATATTCTTTGGGTAGAATGTCAACTTCTATGTGGCCGCTTGATATCATATCCTGAATATTGCTGTATAATCTAACCCGACTACGTATCTTCTCAGAAATTAGAGACATACCGAAATCGACAGCAAACTTCATTGTTGGAAGAACGTGCATACCGTGAACCTCTTTGTGTCTCATTGGGAGGGTTTTCTACAAATTATAATACAAACAAAATTAAAGTAAATTTTTACGCAAAAACGATTATTAAGAATTCTTCGTTTTCTTCATCTAAACAATAATGAAAGTATGGAAAGAGATAAAAGTAGCCCCAATTTTGACAAACTGTCCAGTAAGGCCTTTGATAACACAACTACAGCAATACGTTCAAGAGAACTTTTATAAGAGTAGAAATGTTGCGGTAGATGAAAGTATGGTTGCTGTCAAGTGGCGAAGTTCGCTTCGCTTAAACAATAATGAAGAAGCCCATAAAAAGTGATTTCAAAGTCTGGGCCGCTGCATGCTTTGAATGGTTTGTGATTGTGAATGTTTCTTTATGAGAGATCTTAAAACGAATTATCTCAACCTCTTTGCTGCGTTAATTTCAGGTGTTACTTACTTACATTAATTCTTCTGTTTTTGTGATGAATGCTTCATCTTGCCATACGCGACGGCTGGGTTGTAAGGAAAAAGAAAAGTTGCAACAAATATTTACGTAATTAAAAGTTTTAAAATTGATGTAATTTTTATAGTAATTTCAAAATTTTAGATGTCTTGCATTATGTAGATTAACAGGTTTTATTCATTACAGTATAAAGTGTTTTTGAAAAAAACTAACTATAGCAGTCATGGCCGAGCGGTTAAGGCGTCTGACTAGAAATCAGATTCCCTCTGGGAGCGTAGGTTCGAATCCTACTGACTGCGATTTACGTTTTTGTTTTTTTTACTCTGATCATGTTTTCTATTTGATCATCGGAAATCTAATTTTGGAATATAATAATTTCCAGTACTCTTAATTTGACAACTGCCAGAAACCAAAACTAATTTAATTATTTTAAGTTTTTTTTTTATATATACCTATATAATCTTAGATAACTACCAATTTTTATTTACTATTTCTTCTTACGTTTGTGTGAACATGATTCGGTTTGTTTTTCAATGTGCCTCCAGTAAGTTGTTGTTCCATCGTTTTCGTGGTATTTTTTATCATATACAATATAGTTTGAGTGAATGGATTCCTTGAGGGGGAAGGTGGTTTTCAGGAATATCATAGTTTTTAAAGTTTTTCCTGTATCTGATATCTTGTAGTATTTAATATAAATAAGACTAGCGTACTGGGCCTGACGATAAGGCATATATTGTAAGCTTTGAAACCAGTAACCCAAAAATTTACCATCACTAAATAATAAAAACTACTTAAGATTGTGAGTACTGTTTCATTTCTCATTTACTAGTTTTAAGGACTCACATTGGCAACCTTTTCATCATAGTTTATAGTGGTTGTATGCCTGTTGTGTTTGTTGTGTACTGTATTGTAAAACGGCTTTCTTCTTTTTTCCACATTTCTCTTTATTTACCATTATATGGCTATTATCTATTATGGCTATATCGGAGAATATTAAGATACCGTCGACTGACCGAGTTACAAATGAGGAGGTCCTCAGAAGAAGGAATAAGAACCGAGAGGTACTGACCAGCATCAAATCCCGAAAGTTACAATTGTTCGGACATATTCTGCGAAATGAATCCAGATATGCTCTACTTCAAGCCATCCTGCAAGGAAAAATATTTGGAAAACGAGGTCCAGGAAGAAGAAGAACATATTGGTTAAAGAACCTCAGAATCTGAGGTCCACTCCACCGCGCTCCAATGCTCCAGGCCATCCGTTTCCCCCCTATAGCACTCTGACGCGCAATAGGGGCACAACTATCAACTAAATGATCTTCATGTGGGAGTCCTGGGTAATAGAACTCCAACATGGTTATACCGAGTCCTAACCGAAATCAAACTTAGGACAGCGCATTGTCGCTTTGATCCTGTTATCTTAATGTGGCTCAGTCATAACACTCACTTGCTCTTTGTGATATATACTGTGCTGACTACGACTGGTGCCAAAGTCGTCGCACGCTAAGTGGCGTGACGGCGGTGTTGCCAATTCTACGGTGGCAATCACACGTGGCAATCACACGTAGGAAAAGACTTTAAAAAAATATGACGGGTAGACCCAGAAACACGTATTGGAGAATGGTAAGAGACTCAAATTAAATCGAAACGTAATCCTCTACATTTTTTAATTATTAATACGGTTGAACAAAAATTTTGACAGACGCCTGAAAGTTCATTCTTTCTAAATTAAATAAATTTTTCATTAGTAGCGTCATAAGAATATTATTTCCTGGACTTATCGCGTGATGATTGGTACTATATTATGTAAATATTTTATATTATTATAACTTACCTCTCCATTTTTAACTATACGCACAGCCTCCTTGATGCTGAATAAAGTCAAGTAGGGGAATCCCACACCTTGTCCATCTGCGACGTGGACAAATCCTCGTACTTGATTTTCTTCATCTTCTAAAAGAGTCTCATACACAACACCATGGATGCGACACATATCGGCATTTGAGAATGAGTATAGATCGAACACTCCTTAGAATCAAAATAAAACATTAGTATTGATTAGAAAAGCAGAAGGCAACGCAATAGAAAGCGAGTGTTATGTTATTGGCGATGTCAAACGAAAGAGGCGGCTCGGTACGGTAAAAATTTGAACTAGTGCACGTAGGATAACAAAACATTTTGTATTTAGTTATACACACATAACATAGTTATAAATATTTTAAATATTATTAAATAAAGCACAATAAGGTAACAAAATGTTAAAAAGTAAATGTAAACAGTATTGTTCTGCACGGCAATGCAGTAATTATCGATCGGAAGGAATAACTATGCACTTTTTTCCTCATGACAAAAATCTACAAGATCGTTGGGCACAGGAATTCAAAATTGGGATATCGATATCAAGTGATATGATCGTGTGTTGACAACATTTTTTATCAACAGAATTTTTTTCAAGTAAATTTGCTGAACAGAATTGCAACATTTATTATTATATAATGTGCCTACCTAACCTAATCAAATATATACACTAACATAGATCTTAATTAAAATTTCTATTACAACTGCAGCAGGGTTAAAAGAAACTTTAAAAGAAAGGAGTTATTCCCTCTCAATGTCTTCTTAAAGGAAAACACGAAAGAAAAATCAATGAGTAACTGCTGAATGCTAGACTAATGCGTAATAAAACACACGTACATTCCTACGAAAGATAATAAATATGGATAATTTTTAAACACAACAATCATTCACCTACAAACATTATGGTAGCTCTGTTTTGTTTTCCTACGTGCGTGATCAGCTGATCATCTGTCAAATCGCCCCCTATAGTTTGTTGATATCGCCAATACCTAGTGATCATTATTGTTTTGCTCTTAATAAACTACACTTCATCTAATTTATATAACGATGCACGTCATCGACGTCATAGCCTGTGACGTCACATGATACCAACACAAAATATTTAGGGTGTAGGTGTGTTCTTTTTTAGAATCACTTTACCGAGTACACTGGCATTACAGCCACTAGACATATTTTATTATATACGCGTAGAAATAATATTTAAAAATTTCTATTATTGTTAACTTAAAGAGATACACAATAATATATTTCATTTAATTTGTATAAATGCATTATAAAGCGTTTTTATCAAGAACATTTGTTCGGAACACACTGTAACTGTAATCGAACAAAGCTAAAATTTTGGCATAAATTGGTAACACTTATTTGACAGTTGCGGTGTTGACACTTTTTGTACTTCATTATTTTGAATTTTTAAGTGAATATCTCTTGTTTTATATTTTTAACTATTTAATAAAATCTGTTCTTTTTAGAACAAAATTAGTGTGTTTTATTTCAAAAATGTCACGTAAGAATTTAAATAGTTGTTGTAAAGAGATGGTAATACTTTTGCAATAGTTATGTAATCTATTTGATTTAAAATGGAGTCAGGATTTTTTTATACTTTGACAACTATGTCAACTTCGATCTCTGACGTAGATAATGACGTAAGTCGTTATCTAAATTAGATGAAGTATAACTAATTCTGAGGTCACAATAGGCGGGCGTTTTAAAAACCTGTTCAAACATTTCTAATTTGTCTGTATGTGTTCCATAGAAAGTTGGAAATATTGCTTTTTTTATTGTTTGTAGAATAAATATGAACTTTTGGTTATCAACGATCATTCTGTGCGATTGGTATTATTTGTTGTTCGTCAATTTGTAAGATAAGAATATAAAATATTAAGATATTTACTATGAGTGTTCATATTTTAAGGTTATGTTATTGTTTGGTTAAAACTTTAATTATTTTTTACTGTATTTCAAGGTATTTTGTTGTTGTTTTATGAAGATTATTTCAAAATAAATCAATAAATCATTGAATTTATTTACGAAGTTGAAAAATATTTAAATTAATGTTTTATTTTTCTTTGCCAGTGATTTTATCCTGTAAAAGACCAAAGATATTCGTTTTCTAGTAGTTTAAGTTGTAATACAACATTCTGTAGAACCTTTCAATCAAATTGCCGTAATGAATGTTTAAAAACTGTTTTTTGAATGTTGCAATTGTTTTTGGGTTTATTTTTTAGATCTGGGCATATAATGGCTAGTAAACATGTGTTGAAGATATCCAGTACTACTGAATTTTTCAGTAATGACAATAAAACTACTATTAACTATTTAAACTACTAGAAAATGAATATAATTAGTCTTTTAGGAAATAAAATCACTATCACTTAAAAAATGATAAAACATTATTTAAATATTTTCATAAATAAATTCAATGATTTATTGATTAATTTTTGAAGTAACACCGATAAAAACAACAACAAAATATCTTGAAATACAGTAAAAAATAATTAAAGTTTTAATCAAACAATCACATAATCATAGAATATAAACATTCATAATAAATATCTTAAAACTTTGATATTTTTACCTCACAAATTCACGAACAACAAATAATACCAATCGCACAGAATCAATGTTCATAATCAAAAGTCCTTATTTATTCTTAAAACAATTAAAAAAGTCAATATTTCCAACTTATTATGGGACACATATACACAAATTAGAAATGTTTGGAAAGGTTTTTAAAAACCTCGTCCATTGTGACGTCAGAACTTAGGTGGTCCATTTCTATTTGTCTTGTAGTGTCAAAGTATTTATTAAATGGACTAATTATTCAGAAGGATATGTATGTTATTTTAGTTTCAACGTTTTAAGTTAAAACAGCAATTTTTATTTCGACTTAAGTACGCATTTTTATTACTCGTTTGTAAGTTTTCAGTTACAAAGTGTTACCGGTAAAATTTTCAATTTAATTATAGATTTCTACATGAAGACTCTGTAATATTTACAAACTCTAACATAAATTACAGTTTGTGTATTATAATTCTACAAATTGTGTAGAGAGTAATTTTATCAAATACCTAATGAATGTAAGGTTATCTGCTGTGTCAAACAGCCCTGCTCAAAAAGTTTTTGATTTATTTTATTGAAATAGAACCTATGGAATATAATATATCGTATTCATACAGTGAATTTATTAACAAATATGTTTTAATGATTTTTATTTAATTTTTTGTGACTTATAATATATGTTTACCAAACAATCAAAGTTATTAGAAAAATGAGGTTCCATCTACATATATCACTGAAAAATTATTTATGTTATCTAAACACTGTTATCGGTAAATAAATATGTAGGCACTGTTGCGGCGATATGTGCTTATATTATATTTTGGGGATAGTACATGCAGGCAACACATATTGTTTTAGTTGGGAATTGTATTTTATTTATCAAATGAGCCGTTGTTATACTAGGGAAAAGAAATTTTTTAAATATTAGCCCCACTGTTTTTCAAATTCGGACAGTATCCTTCTGCATTGGAGAAGGGAAGTATTTGATGTGTTCGTAGTGCTGAGTCAGCATTTTTTAAAAAGGACGTGTTAGCTAAATATTTATGGTTTAATCTAGCCTTGGGAAGAGGGATATTACTACACATTTCCTGTAAGGCTTACCTAGAATCTGTTAGTGTTAATAGGTCCACCTATTCTAAAGGGATAAATTTACTTGGTCGTCTTATGCAAGTTTTGGTAAATGATAGGTAACCAAGATGATGACGATATTCTTCTGTAGCTTTTTCTAATTAAGATCCCTGGAGTGTATTGGTATATGGGAGATTAAAAGAAGTAGTAAATTATTGGGTGACTCGTTAAGCCCACTTCTCTTTAATATAATAATGGACGAAATAATACAAGCTGTACGTAAAGGTCATGGCTACAAAATGGGGAACAAAGAAATCCAACTATTATGTTATGCAGACGACGGCGCATTAATCGCCGAGACAGATGACGAGCTCCAAAGTTTAACACACATCTTCAATACAACAGCCTAGAAATAAAATAGGATAATATCAGCGGAAACAACCAAATGTATGACAACATCTAAATTGATGGGAAAATAATAGAGCAGGAAGCAGGGTTTGGATATCTGGGAGTAGATAAAGAAGTACAACAACAAAACTTAAAAGCAAGTAGCGGCGGAATCTCTTAATGACACAATCTGGAAGAACAAAAACCTAAGACAAGATACAAAATCAAGAATCTATAAAGCAGCAATTAGACCTATATTAACATAAGCGGCGTAGACAAGACTAAAACAAGACGACTACTAGAAATAACAGAGATAAAAATACTTCGACGAATATCAAGGAAAAGTCTGTTGGATAGGGAGGGAGGCCAAAACATAAGAAGAGCATACAATATAGAAGACATAAATGAATGGGTAAAAAATGGAAATAGGAGTGGAACGATCACATTAGTAGAATGGCAGAGGATAGGATAATACGAATAGCACGAGATAAGTCACCAAATGGATGAACAAGTATTGGCAGATTAATAAAAAGATGGTGCGATAATTTAAACAATTTATTAGGCTAATATTGAAGAAGAAACAGGGTTTAAAGCAACAATCTTTACAAGCAGAAGAAAGAAGAAGAAGTAAATTATTTACAAACAATAGTTTAACCATTTGCTAGAACTTACTGGGAAGCCTTACTATATTTTTTTGCGCCAATTTTTTAGTTTTCTTTCTACTTTTATCGCATTTTTTAGCCTTCTATTAGCCTTTTAATTATTTTAAAATTTTGTTAGTATAAAATTAAAGGAGGGTTTTGTGGAAATAAACTTGCTATTCCAAATTAAAGCTTGCTTACTCTATCCATTAAAATTTGGGTAGAAGTTATATTGGGAGATACAAAACCAGAATCATGACTGCTAGTATTGAGCAAGAATCTGTGACTGTAACAGCAGTAAAGAAGTGCCCTCAAGAGGAAGTACTATCGCTCCTGCTGTGGTCTCTGGTAGTGAATGACCACCTCACTAAGCTGTATGATTCTGGTTTTAAAACCCAAGGTTACGCAGATGACCTAGTTGTTACAATTCGGGACAAGCATGACCAGACTTCGTCTGGTCTCTTGCAAACTGCTCTTAATAAAATTAAAAGTTGGTGCTGAAAGGAGGGCTTT